CATAAAAGTAACAATAGCTCTATACCTCATAGCATATCCAACCAACTGACAAAATAACAGCTACTACCAAAGCATTAGTGAACTTCCGATAGATATCCAATTTAGCCATCATCCGACGAGCCTGAATGAAACAGCAAAATATTAGCTATCATCCGGAGTATCTACCATAAACGATTGCCGGGAAAACAAGTTCAAGCCCAGAATTATAAAACAAACTTCGTATGGTTCAAACAGGGTCACAGTCTATATTCATCAAGTCATCATTTGGCTATGCAATCTCTCCTAAGCAAGAAGAAAAAAAATGGCTCAGGATATTTTGATTTTACATTGATCAGTGCTCTAAAGTGGTTTGTGTTAAAATGTCATCGTAAAAGAAGTTGCATCTTTATATTGTAGATCTGATACCAATCACCAGAAGTGTTCATCATTGGCAGCTCTTGTTGGGCTCCTTAGAATAAAGCAAGAGCAACAAAGCACAAGATAGATTAGTGTGTTTGTTCAATGTTATTCTGTTTCTCTGTCTGATCTCAGAGCCTTTTGAAAAAAGGATGAATATTTAACAATGCACACCCTGCATTTCAACCCATCTGATCTCACCCGCAAAATCCATGCTAACAGCACTTAAACACCCACAAAATGGAGAAAGTGCCCAAGTAGAATTTGATATATCAGAGGAAGATGAGACTGGCCTATGTTTCTTGACCAAAAATCTTTCGTTTAGAAAGTTCCTACTAATTGAGGAAGCAGTTTCAGGGGAAGCACTTCTTTTGAATAAAGTATGCTGAATCATGCCTAAATAGGTTTGTGATCTGTGAAACTTGATGACATTGGGATTTTGCACTTGCAACTTCCACATTTTTATAATATTATTAGGATCATAAACAAAAATCAAGATCTCATTGTTACTAGCAACTAACTCATGCATCTACTATGTTTCAAGTATAACCAATGTTTTATACAAAAATAAAGGCGTGGAATATATTTTGTGTAGGTCAGACAAAGGTATAAAATGGTAACTATTGTCCTTGGAGAGTTGAAATATCATACTAAGTCAAAAGGGCATGGTTATTTTCAGAGTACTCATGTCCAAGACACTGCATTACTCAATCTGGAAAAATGCAGGCAATATGCCAAATATGTCTTGATCTTGAACAACCATGCCTAGATCATTTTACTCAATTCAGTCGACTAAGCAATGAGCAAATTGTAAGGAGCAAGTACCTGAAGCTTATTCAAAGTAGCAGATAGGGAGTTGAATATCCACAAAATGAAGGTATAAAATGGTAACTATTGTCCTTGGAGAGTTGAATATCCACAAATGAAGCTTATTCAAAGGTATAAAATGGTAACTATTGTCCTTAGGGAGTTGAATATCCACAAATGAAGCTTATTCAAAGGTATAAAATGGTAACTATTGTCCTTAGGGAGTTGAATATCCACAAATGAAGCTTATTCAAAGGTATAAAATGGTAACTATTGTCCTTGGAGAGTTGAAATATCATACTAAGTCAAAAGGGCATGGTTATTTTCAGAGTACTCATGTCCAAGACACTGCATTACTCAATCTGGAAAAATGCAGGCAATATGCCAAATATGTCTTGATCTTGAACAACCATGCCTAGATCATTTTACTCAATTCAGTCGACTAAGCAATGAGCAAATTGTAAGGAGCAAGTACCTGAAGCTTATTCAAAGTAGCAGATAGGGAGTTGAATATCCACAAAATGAAGAAAGCATCCAACAAAGCTACTGGCAGAACCAAAAACAGTCTAGCTTTTCCTGAAAGATCGCTGATGGTACCAACATTTTCCACCAATTCCAGGACCTCAGATGCAAGAAAGAAAGTTGCTCCAAGCATAGTAACTTTGGATGAGATACCACCAAGAGTAGGTCTAACAACTCCATAGCCCATCGAAACCATCAGGATGAGTAATCGTGAAACGGTACGCTTGACTGTGCCGAAGGTAACAGCCCACACAGTCATCCCAACAGGCCTTATTCCACTTTTGTTGAATTCAGCATAGTCATAGTACCAGAAAGCCATCTCAAACATGCCCAATGTTATGACTAATGTTATACAATTCTGTAAGGGAATAATTTCTTTCCAAGATCTTGCATATTGACTGAACCAAAAGATCCCAAGAATTACAAATGCAAGAGACATATACCCATAGAATTTCATGAGTGGAGCCATTCGACCTGGTAGATAACCACTAGGGTTTTTCCAAATTGTTTTCCCCTCTACAATCGCATCCTGAAGACTCGGATCACAATGGATAAAATATAAGTTGTACATCCCAGTTTTAGTAACCTGAATTGATCTAGATGTGAATGTTGCTTCAAGTTCATCAACCTCAAATGAGACACCAGAAACTTGTGGCCAGCCAGGATTTTTTGTGGATTGCCGATGAATTAGATCTCCCTGTTTACAAACACCAAGTTTTGCAAGGTCCTGGGTGCAGCAAACAGCTCTCTGGCCTCCGTATGCAGAACCACCGATTGTTTCTCTGTCTTCCACCTCAAAAAGTATGGCATGGACCCTTGAGCTAAAATTAGATGATGATTTGGGCCTTTGAAGTGTAATCTTCTCAAATCTGGATTCAGAAACCACAAACAAAAAGTGAATATCTATCAACCTTTAAGAAAGCAACTAATGACCAACACATAAAACTCTAAAACTTAGCCGTCTACATTCAAACAAAGATACAATTGATACAATAACATATAACAAAACAGGGATATATCATGAACTGACACCAGTTATCATTGAACTAACTGTTCATCCAAGATTTTGAAGCACTCAAATTCTTAAAAATGCATAAACTACTGTTTCCTTGTAATCAATTAATTGAGTCCAAGTCATGAAAAGTAACCAATTATTTTATTTCATCCTAAGAAGAGCATAACACAAGCTATGATACCTTTTGGTGGTTGGATCTAATTTATACATGATCGTAATTCCTACAAAAGCAGTGAGCTTATTTCTGGTTCACCCACAAGATTACCAATACATCGATACAGTACATAAGCCTTCCCCTACATTGCTTCCTGCAGGCCTCACTCCTCAGTATACCAAACCGACAACTCGATTATTTCAGCCTTTTTGTCTATCTCAGGGTTATAATTAGTCAATTTCACCACCGAGGAATCATAACTTGCATAAATTTAACTAATCTCCTCCAATTCCGCTTCCTCGAAAACGGTGGGTACCAGTAATTCCACCGATCACAAACTTCTCTCCCAATAGCACTTCATATACAGCATAAGTTGCCAATTTAAGTAAACGAGCTTCAAATTTCAGCAATTCCGAAACCTAGTTTGCAGATTTATAATTCAAACTAGCACATTTCCAGCAATTCCGAAACCTAGTTTGCAGATTTAGGATTCAAACTAGCAAATATCATACAATCAGATCCCACACTTTTCACACTAGTAATACAGAATCAAATTGAGCAACAATTAACAACTTAAACCGACAAATTCCACAAAATCAGCAGCTAAATTAAGCATAAATCACTAAAAAAAATTCGAAGAAGACGTAGAAATGAAACGAATTACTCACCGAATAAAGGAATCACCAGGATATCTACTGGAAGGAGCGTATATTCCTTCACTTCCGCCATAAACAACGAACGAGTTACCTTTGGAAACGAATTTCTGAGTTCTGTATTGGTGCACCGACGCTTCAATGTCGGCAAGGAAGCATAAGATGAGAAAAATCGCCATTGATGAAGCTGCGAAGAACTTCATAGTCTCCATTGTTGAGGAGAGAAGAGGAGAGAGAAAATGGAGAAGAAGATAGTAGAAGATGGTGTGGATCTACTGGAGAAGAAAAATGGAGGACAGTACAGTAGTAGCAGTAGTAGTAAGACCTGTGTTTCTCAGATTTTTAATTAATTGATTAATTAATTAATTGATTAATTAATTAGTCAATATTTAAGAAAGAAAAAAAAAGGAAAATAAATAATTTCTGGTTTTAAGGAAGAAAATATTATTCAAAAAAAAAAAAAAAAGGAAGAAAATAAAGGATGGAGTAATAATTGAGGTCAGTGAAGAATTCAGAAGTTTTGTTTTAGGGTACTAAATAACTAAACACCATGTAATTACACAGTACTCCACTCCACTCCGTATATTTTATATGTATCTAACAAATAGGAGGATCGGACACTAGAGATGTGAACTAGTTAAGCTAAGTCATATTGTGTTTGTAGTTGTTTAATTTGAACAAGCTTGAGCTTTTAATAGAATTCGATAATTTGTTCAAGCTTGATCTATTGAGTAACTTACAATATTTGTGGTCGTCTCATGAATGACTTGTTTATAAGCGTTCCTTGTTTATAATCAAATTTTATGTTTTGTAGTACAACATAAAAATCAAATCATTTTGATGTACGCATATTAAGAATTCTTACATACACTCGAGTGTGCCTAGAGTTAAGTGCATTTAAAGATATCACATGAATAAAAACTTCTCTTGAAAGAACCTTTTCTTGTATTCATTAAGGTATACGATGTAGGGATTTAAAGAAAGAGTTTCAAATCTTCATACTACAAAAAAATAATCACAAAAGTCAGTTACGTAGTTTATTTTATTTTAGCCGAATTCAAGTTATTAACCAAACGTGTTGGGTACCTATCCGGCTATCCCTAGTTGTTTACTCTGTAACTACCAATAACATAAAAATAAAGATATCGAAATCACAATTAACAATGATTAATGATACAAATCTAGTTTGACTTATCAATTTCAGTGGAAAAAATAAAGCCAAGAGGAAAGTCAAATATATGAAAGGGTGAATTTACACTAATTCATTCGTATTATCCTCGTACTGTCGGTGCTGTCAGATCCTTCAACGTATTGGGCCTGGATCAACCACTTGATGGGCTTTATAATTAGTGTGAGTTAGCTGGATTGTACTCTCTAATCCAGGCCCAGGCCCAAGTCCACACTTAATTAGACAATTGCCTCTAAAATAAAATTAAAATGACTTAAATTTTCATTTTCTGCTGCTCATCAAATGGCTGAATCTACTAAAAATACTGAGATCTTCAAAAGTGTATAATTCTTCACAAGTCGGATCGATTCAACATTATATGAAGTAGTAGATGAGAGCCTACTCCAGTATACTAAAAGGTTAAACAAAGGTTCAGGCACTCATCTGTGCTCATTAAATCGAAGAAATGAACCAACACGGAAATAAAACAGGAGGTTAAACACTCCCAGGAGGTAATTTAGGACCATATAAAGCAGCCATCAACTAATAATTGTTAATTCTACACAACCTTGTACAGATTAGCATCTAAGCAACACTGCTTGCTGATACCGTGGCACATCATCCATTGCAAAATCTTGGTCTTTTGAATATTCAGACCGACTAGCAGACAATGTGGCATGGTGTTGACAAGGAAAAACAACTCTCTGAATACCAGCAATACACACGTTTCAGTCCATATCGAGAAACTCCATCCTCTTTCTTATTAGGCCTTTAAGATCAGAGGCATCCCTTTCTGCTTTTTGTGCCTGCAAATGAAAAAGTTGAACAATTGAATAGGTTCTCCACAAGACCAAAAAAAAAAAAAATGGTTTACTCAATGGGAAAGTATAAAACAGCTGGTGTCATTGCATTAGTAGAAATAGAATGACCCACTCAACATCTCAAATATGCACATATTATGGCATGAAGACGAGATAACATTTTCGATTGTTTTAGCAGAAACTTCACAAGTCTACTTAATCAAAATTATCCAATGACAACAGAACCACGTACATAAGGCTCATATATTATGGACAACTTTGTAAGCATAATCTTCTGCAAACATGTAATTCATTCTTCTTAGAAATAAAGTTTCTCCCAAGCTAATATTAGTTCTATCATTGTTTCAACGCAGGATTTAACTTCACGGCCTATGAAAAAGTTGCTCACTCATAAAAAAAATCCAATGTAACAAAGCTACTACGTTATAGTTCAGGAAGTTGGAAAATGAAGATAAAAAAAAAAAAATTAAATGAAGGGGAAAGCAGGATTGATTATTCAGAAACATCAGGAGACACAAAGTCTAATAGTCTTAAAGATTATTAAAAAGATAGCAGATACAGATGCAGTATAAGTATAGAAAACACCACGCTGCACAAGTGCACAGCATGGACTGGCAGTACAGTGTTTGCTAAAAAATGCTTGATATATGTACAAAACAAGTGATTTTAGTGAAAGAAGAACAAGCAGTAAGCATTTCCTCTTAAGCACCCACCTTTCTGATCTCAGCAACTGATACACGTGACATATGAGGGGGGAGATCTTCTTTTTCCGCATCCTACAAATTCATTGTTGATTATATCAAGCAGAAAATCAGGCACATTAAGGACACAAGAGAAGGCATAAGAATGACCATTATACAACATACCAGCTCACCAATCAAGACCACATTCTCCCCACGGATTACATACAAACCTAATGGGATGTCGCAATAAAGGTCACCGACAATGACTCTTTCACATGCACCTTCAAGAACAGCATTCGCTGCGATCAAGTCATAACAATGTACTCAGCTAGATATCAGGGAATTTAACTGAACTCATCAATAAAATACAAAACCATGCCAGAAATGTACCGAATTGATCAAATGAACAAAGTGTCCCTAAGAGTTTCCTTCCATCTCGTAGTAAAACAAGAATCTTTCCTGTATGATATAGAAGAAAGTACATATTACTACAAAAACAACTAAAGTTACGACGGTCTGCAACCCAAACAGGTTGACAGTAAGAAGGCAACTACCAACAGGTATTTTATGTTCACATTCCACCGAAATGATATTTTTTGTATACATAAAAGGTTACACTTGAAAAATGACCAACAATCCAACATGATATAGCAGCATCCAAATGATACACGAAGTCTCTTGGCCAAAATCTCTTTAGCACATACATTTACTATGATAGAATACCATATGATAGCCTGTTGTAGCATAAACAGCCACCACCACATAGGGATGCAACCATCTAGAACCCATTCCTCTATCACCTAGTGCATGAAAAGAAAACAGATATGCACAACAGAAAGATTGAGCAAACTTGGCTTGTTTAGATACTGTACAGCCTCATATGATGCACCTTCCAAGACATGACTTGAAGCTTCTGGGAAAGACTCCGGTTTTAGAACTAAAATACTTCGGAAGAAAAGAGAAGATAACCCATAAAGAGGGAAAAAAGGCTTTGGCTCTCAAAATGTCCAACATTTACCAAAAAAAATCAAAATAGAAGACCCATGTCCTTCTGCAACTAAACACACACACATTTGTAAATGAACAAACTTCCATGAATTGGAACAGCATGAAAATCAGGTCTCCTTTGGAAGTCAACTCTCACTAAAACCTTCACCATTGATTTGTATTCAACCAAACCCTAAAATAAATTTGCATTCCTAAGTAAATCAAGTGAAAACCCTAGCTATTTCGACAAGGTCCATCAATGAAAGTATTGAATTAAAGGTTTGAATAAGGCCAAATCCTCGGCAACTAAGTATTTGTAGCAAGAACTCAGAACTGAAAAATAGTTCCATCAGCTTTACAATCCACGGGTCACGGCTAACGGGCAACGTGTGGAAAACAGATGGCAAAGAATGAATTCAATTTCTTTGGTAACTCTATTGATTGTACTCTTGAGTCATAAACCAAATTGTCCCCCTTTCAAATTATTCACTCCCACCTTCACTCTATCTAATTTCCCATCAAACCAACTCAAGAATCATAAACCTAATAATCAAATTCCAACCTCAAAAAAGCAGCACCCACCAACAAGAAGCTATAACATACATTAACAAAGCACATAAAGATATGATGCCCAATAATTAAACTCAAATCAAGCATAATCAAGCCCACATCAAATAATTAAAATAAAAAATAAAAATAATTTAAGCCCAATAATTCAACTCAAACTAAACATCCCATCATCAACAAACAAGAGTACAAAATCAGAATCCCAATGAAACAGAAAGTAAAGTAAAGGGATTTAAAGTGAAACATACATGAATTAGAAAACAAAAAGATTGAAATTTTAGATAGAATTACAAATGAAATGAGATCTTTTGCAACAGAAGTTTAAAAGATGAGGAGAGAGAAAGAGAACAAACTGTCAAGATAACTGGCGAGAGAAGTTGAAAGATACAGATCTTCAGGACCGGCCCACGACATTTGAGTCTAGAAGTAGTTTGAACCCAGAAATCAAATTCAACCCAGAAATTCAATTTTCTTCTTTGAAGACAATACAATTAGAACTGAAAGCTCAAATATTTCTTCGTTTCTACACTTTTTTTTTTTTTTTTTGTTTTTTTTTTTTTTTTTGAAGGAAAGGGGGAGTGGTGGTTGAGGACTTGAGGGTTTGGGAAAATTTATTCAAAGGTTTTTTTTTTTTTTTTTTTATTTTTTTTTTTTTTTTTTTAGCTTATTAGAATTTATTTGAAATAAGTCAAAATTTCTTTAAATTAATTCTCTCTTTGAGAAAAAATGTTATGCACTTGAATGTACAATCGTAAATCCTCAAACAACACACATCTTTTAAGTGTTTTACTAGTTTTTAAGCCCGGGCGATATTCAGGTTATAATCTTTTGCTAAATATTAATATTTTGTATTTAAAAGATTATGCTAAATATTAATATTTTGTATTTACAAGATTACAGAAAAATCACGTAATCGATCCAAGAATCTCCTGAAATCGGGAGGGAAGTTCTAACCACTTGAGCTATTATTCACCTTTAATCACGTAGCTTAGTGATAAGATATTTAGTTGTAAAAGTATAGGTTGTGTGTTCAAATCTTGTTTTTTTTTTTTTTTTTTTTTTTTAAAATTATAAATGCATGATATGTAATGAAAAACAAATGGAAGGAAGAGCCACGTGGCATAATGAGTATTTCAGTGGATAATGTGGCGTAGTGAGGGGGGGGGGGTCGTGACACATGGATGTTCTTAGGAACCCCTTTTAATAGATTAGTGTAGATTATTTGTACTTTGAGCTATAAACATGTAATTAGTGGTAGTATTAAGTACTTGAATGGCATAAACAATTGTTTTCTCATGTCTGTATGCCATTACTATATATTTTCTGATATCTCATATCTCTAACATCATTTATTTTTAGAAAACCAGACAATAGTCACTTATTCTTGACAATTTCTCCTAAATGAAATACGAAGTAGAAATATTTATATTGCATTATCTTAGAATCACTTCTTCTAATTGAGATCGCATAGAGCATTTTGGTATAATTTGTTTTTATAATTTTGTTTAGTTTATATTTAATTCCTACTTGCACATATATTTAATTCCTACTACTTGCACATATATTAACGAAGAGGAGGTAGTAATACATTTGGAATGAATTATGCACAACTAAGGGCCTGTTCTCATATGATTATTTTCAGTTCAGTTCTTATCTTAATTTCCCTCTCACATAAAATATTCAGTTCAGTTCAGCTCAATGCAGCCAATGAGAACAGACCCTAAAAATGGCATTTCAACCTCTCTCCTTATTGGCTACATATATGCATACAGTAACATTATCTAACATGCTAAAATAAGCAATGTTAAATTTGTAACTCCACATGACAAAAAAGAAAATAACTGTCTTACAGATCTATTAAACTACTTCATCTATTCTTAGTTAGTATGAATCATACATTGTTTTATGTGTCAAACTCTCGTCCTATGCAAATTTTAACAAGCAGAATAACACAAAAAAGAAGAGAGGAAAAGAGGCTTCCATTTGGAAAATGGAAGAAGAATATCAAAGGGAAAGAAAAAAGGGGAGGAAAAAATTTTAAGCGTCTGGCTTCTGACAGCTTAAAATACAGAATGTTACATAACATGAGTTGATCTGAACATTAACAGATACAACCATGAAAAAAAGGGGCAAATTTTCCCGTTTCACAAAAGATATCAGGATTCTTTGAAGCGCCAACGGTTTCTTCTGTTATTTCCTCCATCAGTTTTATGAACTCATTCCTCTGACAAATCCAAGTTATTGAACAAGAAGACGATGCATACATATACTTAAATCTGCCAAGAAATATAGAGCAGTAAGTTAGATAAACCAGTTAAAGCGATAATTCAAGGAAATTCTTATTAATTTAAACCGTTTCTGCTAGGATGAACATGTAACAGGTTTTCATACCTTGTATAATATATCTGTATAGGGGTGATAAAATATCAAATCTCTAGAACAATATCTGCAGCAAGCAAGAACTTTAAATGATCAGTGGCACGCTCATAAGACACTAGTGAGCTTAACATACAAATTATTTTCATAACTGAGCATAACGGTGCAAATAAACTCACAATCTGAATCTGTCTTGTCCCATTTACATCCCTCGCTTGGCCTTGGTTTGTCATCTTCCTCTTCGTTAATTTTCTTTTCTGTAGTATTGTGTTTATCTTCAATATATCTCTTCATCGATGATGTCCGAGAAGCATTTTTAGGGTACATCTTCTTATGAATAATGGTTCGCAGTAGCTGGTGCATAGGCAAATAAAAAAGCATAAGCCTATCACTACACACAGAAATCCAGTAGAAGATATCAAGGGTTTACTAAAATTTTTAGAACTGATAAACAATGTACCTTCTCCATTCTGGTCTCTTGTAGAGTGTCCCTCAAACTAGGAGCTGGCGAGAACCCATTTGCACAAACGAACATCTTCTTAAGAAGAAAAGAAATAGATTTCTTCCCAATCGCATTCTGAGTCTTCTCTGCCCGGACCTCTTTGCATTTACCAATTATTACACTAATTGTGCGTTCAATATCATCTTCCTTGTAATCAGGATCAGTGCAAACAGCATTTGAAATCCTCCTGCTGACTTCCAAACTTGAAGGGCAGTTAAGGAATCTGTCCAGAGGAAGATCAGAGCTTTCCTCTTGTTTAGCTGATTTTCGTTTTAAGAGCTTTGTCAATTCCTTTTGCAATTGAACAAACTCTTCTGGAGAAAATTCTGACAAGTCCGGGGATGGAGCAGAGGTGGGATTCTGTTCTAGTTCTTGATCATGGGTGGCAGTCTGAATCTCAGAACTAGCAGCTTCTTCTTTGAGATCCTTGATACCAAATGTCCCAATTGTTAGCAGTCCATGAGGCCAGTCATTGAACTCTTCTCTCTGGGAAGATTGTTTTGGAAGATCTGTCAAATTGACAAGAGGAATTAGGATCCAGTTAACATTAGAGTATTAGACAATGAGAAACTTAGAAAATGCAGCAAATTTTTAAGATTATGAGGAACATAAAAAACCATTAAGTTTATTAATATAAAGCTAGCCACGGATTCATAGGTCCTAGCAAACCTAGTTTTGAAGGAGCTGCATACAAAATTCTATTTCTCTATCAGAGAAATAAGTTTCATGGCTCATATCCCTACACCAGATTCATAATTTTAAGTGTTAATCAATTTATGAATTTTTAGACAGGCGTTGGAGATGACATAGAAATTTCCGTGCGAGGTCATGTTTTTGCTATGGTCATAATATCCTTGAATTTAAGAAACTATATGTTATCCCTGAAATCCAGAAAAGAAATTGGTCAAGACATAGCCAATGAATTTTCTTAACACTTGAAGTATAACACACTGTGTTGTCTAGAATTAGCTAGGGTCTTGCTTCTCTTGAACTCTAAGAAAAGCACTTGAACAAAAAGTCTCATAGTTGACCTCAGTAGTACAGATATATGAGTTCCATAACGTGAAATTCATCATTTGCCCATGGTGGCTTTCTCTACAACAAAAAAATATTGTTTGTGGCTAACAGTTCTAGATAGTAAACACGCGAACCTAAACTGGTTTCATCTTAGAAAAAGGAAATAATGAGGCAAAGAGCCAATGAGGCATAAGCAATTGTGTAGAATCTAGATGTAGGATCTTAACACCCGACTCATTAGCTCAGCTAGTAGTAGGCTAGACAATTATTCGTACTTGTGGTCCTAATGGGTTGATTTCCCCAGTAAATTGCTATTGTACCTTGCACCATCTAAACAATGTTTAGTACCAGAAAAATCTAAGCATAAAATACACATTTCCAGACAACCATGTAGGGTGAAGCTCCCTACACAACCAACCAAGTCTTCCACCTTGTCTGTAACCAGAAGAAGAAAGATGCCAGTTTTCTAGTCAGGGCATTGCCTAGAAACTGAGAGTAAGGGCATATCCACTCATCACTATGCTTGGCAATTCTACGACTAAGTTAGACAATCTACGTTGGTCATTCTAAAAAAAGTTAGAACGCAGAGCCATAAAAATCACAAAAAAAATATATACGTAGTACATAGCACACAACTCAAGTGACTTAGATAAAATAATCCAAGTACTTCTTTAAAAATACAAACCTTTTTTTTTTAAAATAAAAATATATTGATAAGCCTCTAAAGTCAAAACTCTATACCGCTAGTACCGGCATAATTTATAATATCAGTATTATCTGAGTCGTTAAAGATGTGGCAGGGTTAGAAAGGTGATTAAAAAAAAGCTAATTATAAATCCCAGGCCCAAACTACCTTAAATTTTTTGGTTGTGCTTCTAGCTAGACATGTGGTTATGGGATAGTATGGGATGAAGCTTTAAGAGAAGATTATCCTAATTTTGAATTTAAAGCTGTTGAAAAAAAAAAATAATCCTCAGCATCCAACAATTAACTATTGATCTGTCACCAATATAGGGATAAAAGAGTTGGAAGCCTTCAAGAAAGCCTTAGAAGCACGGATCTGAATAGCTAACCTGCTGAAACATCTTTTGTAATTCAAGACCATATTTCTTATTGCTTAAGCATAATTAGGAAGTACGATAGAGACAAACACAGGAAACCAAGGATACCTAGGATATCAGAACAGAGATAGTACTAAAAAAATCAAAATATAGCAAGCATAGCATAGCATCAGGAAACATGGAAGGAGGCGCATACATCTGTAGCAGTATGTATTCTTGCTTATAGACCTCGAAGAACAATACATGTAAAGCAATGCAAAGCGGATATAAGTTACGTAGAAGTAAAGACTTCATCTATGCATGTGCATGCCAAATGGTTTTCAGCTCTTTAACTTTCCTTTATTCCCTTTTTTCTTTTCCAGTGTTTTGAGAAATTATAAAGATCAGAACTCCTCATACTATACTATAAGCCTACATGGTTGAGGTCAAGCCTCTCCTTTACATAAATATTACACAAAAAAAGGTATCCCCAAACATTGACCTTAGAAGGGCAACGTAAATCTCTAAACCGTAATAATTTATGAAGAGCCAACGAGGATCTGAATTAAACGGAATAAAAATTGAAGGAAGAAAGTTGGAACCATGAAATCCTACTATAAACATGAACGCATTTCTCATGCAGGTTGCATGAAATATGTGATTTGTGCAAGTATATATCGGTGGAGGTAATGTAGTTGTACCACCAAAAAGTCGTCTGTAAAGAAAGATAACAAGAAAAAAGAAAGCTTACTACTTGGTGGGACTGTATTCGGGGTTTGGTTCCCTGGTCGTCCATTAAGCTTGTTCTGCATCCAGTTGAAGAACTGCAATATTCACAAACCAGATGGTCTTTGTTTAGCAAACAATGATATAACTACAATGAAAAAGTTTACTAAAGCTACATCATGCACATATATCTCTCTCCTCACCTTCATTGTCACCAATGTATTTATTCTCTAGAACAAGAACTTTGTAAGAATGTCGACTTGGGGAGATAGAAAAACCTTCGTAGAGTGAGTTGTTTTTAATAAGCCAATAAGCTTTGAGCAGTAACAAGACAACGCAAATGAGCAATTATAAGGTCAGTGCTACAGCTTAGGAGCTCTCTATTGGTGCAAGTTCCTAAACAGAGGGCCTCTTTTTCTCAATTAGCTTTTCCTAACAAACGTTCTCTCTCTTCCTCCCCTTTTCACATGGATCTCAACCTTTTACTACTATGTTCTCTTAACCTTGTTTTCAGCTATTATACTCCCATACCTCTCCAACTAGCAAGGATATCTATGCTAAGAAACATTCTCTTATAATATTGTTTAATAGTAAAGGGTAATATTTTAATATTGGTCTGTGTGAGTGTGAGGATTTGTCGCAGGCATGCTTCCCTAGCAATTCTTACTAAGCCTTCGTGTCTAAACATTGGTCCTTAGATCACTATAATAGCCTATCCCCAAAAAACCTTGCTTTCAGCAAAAATGTACAAGCGCAATCCCCACAAGATTTACCATTTAAAGGTAGAAATCATGCATGACATCAGTAATGAAGCTTATTAACAGGGGTGAATTCTCAGTCGGTAAATGGAATTTGATTCAGTATTTGATTCGAGGACTACAAAAACTGCAAGATTTTACAACTAATACTGCTATAATTATCTTCCACATTGAAAAATATAATGACCAAAAAGATATAATGACCAAGTATATTTCAAGGAAGCCTTGTTTACTGCAAGTCTGCAGCGCTTTTAGTACTAACAAATAACAATGTTCCTCTTGTCTCATAGGATCGATCAAACTATCATGCAACTATGCAAGATATTTTTCACATAAATGACTAATGCATACAAGTCCAATCTCTAAGTAATGGAAACCGGCATAAACAATGTGAGATCATTTGCCAAAAGTTCAAAATGTGAATATCCTGGAATGTGATACATAACTAAAAACTAGTCAATCAATAAAAATATACTGAAATGAGACTATGAAATTATTTGCCAAAAGTTCACAATGCCATACATCCTAAATAAAGATACAGAGTTCAAAGTACATAACTACAAACTAGCCAATCAACAAAACATTAGTCTCGATTATAAAATGGCCACCAGTGAATGCATGCTAGAAAGAATAACAATATATCAAATTCTACATTTTAAGTTTCCTAATGACTTTCCTTTTTTAGATATATTGTTATTCTTTCTTTCCATTTGTATTTTCCCTAAAAAAAATCACCATGTGACTCCAATAGTCTCGTCGTTGACCCTTTTTCCTTGGTATGCGTAGAAAAAAAATCGTACAAAATACTTAAATAAAGGGGGAGTATTTAACTAAGAATTGAATAATAGACATTATTCATATGGTGGAGACTTTAAGATTCAATACTGAAGAATAATTATGATACTCTAGTTCTAATTAGCTATATACAAGATATTTTAGACTTTAAACACGGTTCATGTCCAAAGCCCTAGTCAACAGTAACTTCCTACACTAGTAGCAATGACTCATTTTCTAGCTCAATAATATGAGGCTACCCCATCTCTCCTGTCTTCTCTTGTAACTACTTTTTCCTTATCATCACCCCAAATCTAAGGGCCAACCTTGCTAAAACACATGCAATTCCTAACCCTTCTTTAAACTTCATAAACAAGAAGGAAAAAAACACACACACACAAATTCCTACAATAATATGATCCAAGTTAATGACTGCATCATATTAAATCTTATTTATACAAACAATCACATGTAAACAGAACAAAAAAGACTGCATATTTGCCAAATAAGCATGGAATTAGTATATAAGAAGATTTGTTACAAAAAGACAATAGAAAAAAGGACAAAGTCAGTAGGTCACATATAAAATTATAGACCGTAATTGCTGAATATGGCAGTTCACTAGCCATTGTTTGACCAATATAATTGATTGATTAATTATAAATATTTAATAACCACAAGCCACATGGATATGTAATCAAATAAGTAGGATAGAACATTTTGCCGTCGAGAGGGTGACCATTGCACCTGATCTTCCAATGCCTTACCAGTTAGTAGTTTCTATAATATCCCAAGTTCCAACAAAATAATGCCAATGAATGCTAGAATATATTCGGGACTTTTTGATTCATGCAATCACTCAGATTATATATTTATAATATTATTTTTTCAGATAATTCACTTGGTTCAGCAAGTCTTAAAAAATGTCATGAAGGATTACACATAAGATAATGTAGCTACAAACTCAAAACACGGTTCTATTTTTATTTTTTTTTAAGAAAATTACACAACATTGAAAGAATGGCTCAACAATATTAATACAAATGAGAAAATTCATACTATTGCTGACTAGATTACTTCATTCCATAGTTCATTAGTTATAGCATGCAAACTGAAGCACCCACTTATAAGCCAAACAGAATCACTTCTATTTCTACATAATCATATGGAAAAACTCAGTGAGAAAATGATCAATCAAGCATAATTGGGGGAAGATCAAGGGATGAGAGTAATGGACGAGATATTGGTAAAATAGTTCTTGACAAAATGGAGAAACTCTTGCACATTTTAGTTCATAAGTATTTTAATAAACAATTGAATTACTCCCTTTTCTCCCTTGTGCAGATTTTTCCCAAACTATTCAACTACTATGAAAGTTATTGGTTGACTTTATCTTATATTGGTTGATTAAAATTCTTTTTGTCACAAGTCAAATTAAGTTGAAAAGAATGAAAACAATAAGGTCCAGGTCCACTATTCAAAACAAAATCTTTCCTCTTGAGTTTCGGCTTTTTAAATATACTTGCAACACTTTCTACTTTGACATGGAACAATTAATATTTTATCGTTTATTTTTACCATTAACCTCATTCGTACTAACCTCTTATTGTTTCTCTCTCCTACAAACTGCTAAAATATTTCCCATCAACCCTAATGGCACATTAAAATAATCACTTTATATATACTACCCACTTAATCTCCTAAAACTACATGCAAACATAAGTGTTAAATATAATTAGGAGCAGAGGAGTATCTACTAATGTAAGTTAACACATGCCTGATACTGGTCACATTGCCTTGATTCTATTGGGCAGGCAAGGCGTTGACCTCTTATAAACAAAGGACAAAGAGCTAATATCTTTCCAATAATAGTATATACTTTGTATATTTTATACTCTATATATTCTATACTCATTATTCTGTTTAGGATTTTCTTGAGAAACCTATTACAATCCTCTAATAAGCAATAACAAGCATATACTGTTTAGAGTTATAAGTTACAATTTACTTCCTTTGTGCTTATGGCATATGTTATAGGCTAGAAACTGCCTAATAAATGGCATCTACTTGAAATAAAATCAATCAGTTCCAAATATGCAACTTATTTTAGCAAATTTGTAACACATAATATTATCTATGATAAAACTTAACTTATGCTAGAAGCCCAGAACAACCATTATCAGATCAGAAAATAAAGTAACTCAGATCTAGTTAGTTTGGGCTCGGGCATTTTTAAGTAGTTTGTTTAGGGAGATTTCAAGTTCAGGTCCTATTGGGTATTTTTTTGGTTGATTCCTTTACCAATGTACCTATTTTAATAAAACAATTATAATTATAAATATTAATTATCGGGTTGAATTGGATCAAGCAAATGAAGTTAAAAACTTGGCATATCCCTACTTAAAGAATTTTTTTATAAAGTGGATTTATTTTAACGATTTTGACCAACAGATGTAAATTACACTTAATTCAAATTGTTGCTAGCCCATCTTCCTAACATGTGCTACATATCCATACTTGCAATTAAAAAAGTCAACTTTGCATGGATGGAAACAGCTAAAATAGTGAAATGAATCAATTACTAAGTCTCGGTACCTAAAACGGTAATAATACCCAACATACCACTACTATGAATCTGTTGTTGGTAAGAAAAAAGAGAATGTAGGTTTTGGAGACCACTTGCCTCATTTATTTATTCTTAAAGAGAAAATACACTGTGAGTATACTCTAGTAATGAAAAGTATTGAAGATAAAGAGTGTTGGCCAATGTCCACAAACAATTTTCTAAATTTCTCCGTAGAAAGTCCACAATTAATATACCAGCAACTTACGAAGTAAAAGAAAATATTCTTTTGATCAACACATTTCGACCCGATTTGACCAAAACTTCATATTTCGCAATAATATTAAGTTTTACACTATTTTTGATTTTTTTTAAACATAACCCGAAATCTGACCCAAACCCGACCCATTGACCCGAATTGCCACCCCTACATGTGAAGTGACTATAAATTTCCTTCACATGTGTTGATCAAAAGAATATAAGAAAATATTCTAATAACTATCCTTCTCACTCTCACCTAGTCACCCTACCCTATAAATTTCCTTATATGTTTGTATATAAAAACTTCACAATTAATCTTAAAACCTAACATAGGTACATCTTCAAGGTTGAAGGTAGTGAGATTATTAATTTATTACTAGTAATGAAAAGAGAAATCATAATCTAAAATAGTAGCTGTTAGAGCATCCTTGATATTAATACTAGTAATGCATGCTTGCCCAAATACACTCTCCTCATTAAGGAAATTGTGCATTGTGAAAGCAGCCCACTCTATAAGTTATTTGGGTAGGCAGAGTTTATAAGGCACCACCACGTTCTTGCTTTATTCAGGTCAGATGCCCATTTTCCAAGCAAATCTAAGCACTTGGTTCTCAACCATGGGAAAATAGATGCACTGTTTGAGAAGAAAGGGTGTAATAGGTGGTGATTAACAGGAATAGTACAATAAATTTCAGTGCAACTCAGCCACATTTCAGAGGTAACTGATGGAAAACGCTTAGATCAACACAGCTGAGATAGTATTCATCCATAAGTTGATTTTATAAGTAGGAGAATAAAGATCTGAACATCATATGGCAATTTAAACGAACCAATTATGTGGTGGAATGATGCA